CGTTGAATTTATGGTCCATGAGTTGTCACCATAAAACATTAGTTATGAAAGCACGTGCCAAAAGCCAGCAGCTACGACACCGAAGAGGGTGGATTCTACTGTAAGCACAATCCCCCTGGCTTTAACGAAGGTGTCAGTCACCACTGGCCTTCAAGGTGATTCCGACAGGTGGCACCCTCCTTGATGTCGGAGTAGAACGGCGCTCCGGTAGGTTTCCAACAGCTGATTTTTCAGAAGTCGGTTTCTTAGCTTTTCTTCCCTCTCACTCGACGTCAGCGCTCATTGTTAGAGAATACTGAAGAGCGTTCAGAAAGATTTAGCTTACGCGGTGGTTTGTAGGAAGAGACACGTACATTGACCAGTGTGTGGAAAAGGAGAAGCTGGGATATTTTTGGCCATGAAGAATGTGCTAAGAAATGAATCACTGACATGGAACGGTAATAGGGTCTCAGCAGGAAACCGGGCATATTTCAATTAGATCCTCGTTGTAGGGTTTTAACAGGGTATTGTTTCTGAAACCAAGAGATGGAAAGCCATGTGGGATTTTGTGCAGTACCTGGGCACTAGTGGGCAGAGGGCGTAAAGAGCTATCAGAGCCAAAGAGAACAGACTTCCAAAGAGGGACACAGCTAATGTGCTGAGACCCAGGTGGGAGGAATCCCGAGCACGGGTACTCAGACCCTGCCCTCCTCTCACCCAATCTCCTTCCTGCTGACGCCACTCCTGGGTGGATCCATTGGGATACCGGAGGGGCAACTTGAGAGAGGTCAGCCTCCAGGATACAGAGAAAGATGGCAGTAAGAAATAACCCCTGGTGGGATTCAGCTGCTAGCCAAGGTCAGCAGTTTGAACTCAGCAGCCGCTGTGCAAGGAAGTCATGTGGCAGTCTGCTTCTGTAGATTACAGCCTGGGACACCACATGCCAAATCTCCAAACTCACCACCATGAGGTCCATGCTACCCCTAGCAAGCCTCTAGGACAGGGTAGACCTGCCCCTGTGAGTTTCCAAGACTGGAACTGTTGATGTGAGTAGAAAGCCCTGTCTTTCTCCTGAGGAGCAGCTGGTAGTTTCAAACTGACCACCTGGTGGATCACAGCTCAATGCATAATCACTATGCCACCAGGGCTTCTCGGGAAACCAGGTAGGGCAGTTCTGTTCTGTTCTATCATCGCTATGAGTCTGAATCAACTCAACAGCAAACAGTTCGGTTTAGTTTAATATAACCACCGAGAAAATTCTGGCTCGATTTATCCCAACGTGTAAATAATAGCTTTCTCAAAGTTCCTCAGTATGGGGCAATTCTTCATCAATGAGGACTGGCCCATAGATTTCAGGGCATTCCGCATTACTGCTACCATACACTACACACCAGGAGAAATTCCAATCATTACAATCACCAAAGATAAATAAATAACCCTAACTATATGCTAGGGTATATGCTAGGAACCACTGTGGGGTTGAGGATTATACATGTTTTTACCTACGTTTTTCTACAAAGAACACATATTGCTGTCATGAAATAGAAATTGCCCCCTATTTTTCAAATAGAACTCGCAGGATAATCGAAGCTCCAGCTCTCAGTAAACCCGATTCATCCTCCCCCAAATAAGCTTGTTCATGACACAGGAAGGGAATAACAGGTGACTTGGCAGTATTACATGGACACTGGAATCCATTCGAAATCACCAACAACAGGATGGACGTAACCAACTCAGTTATTCTGTAACTACTGGTCATTCTTAGGGGGTACAAACAAACAAACACAAACTCACTGCCACTGTGTCCATTCCGAGTCACAGTGACCCTGGAGGGCAGAGTAGAACTGCTCCTTGGGTTTCTGAGGCTGTAACTCTTTAGGGAAGCAGAGAGCCTCATCTTCCTCCCTTGCAGCAGCTAGTGGTTTCGAACTGCTGACCTTGTGTTACCAGTCCAATACGTAGCCCACTGTCACCAGGGTTCACGGCTTCTGACAATTCACAGGTCAAGTACCAGATTGCTGCTGCCTTGACATAACACTTTAAAAGGAAGGAAAGCATGTGCGTTGGTTTCAATGAGATGGGACACTGGTAAAGCCCTAGTGCTCTAGTTGGAGGACCTTACTCCCCGCTCAGCCCGGTGCAGAAACCAGCACTGGCAATTTTGACAAGTGATTTGGGAAAACATTGTGTTTTACTTCCTATATTATTTCCTTTCCCCCAGGCTCAAGCAGGAAGCTGGGCCTTTAGTTACTTTGTCTGGGGATTTTGTCCTTACAGGGAAGAACAAGGCATTCAATAGGCTGTGGGTGAGGGGGACACATCTTAATGTCAGGGTTAAGGCAATGGTGTTGAGCCTTGCACCTCCAAACAATCAGGGGGACCACCTTTCATTGCATCTAAGCAGTCGTCCATTGTAAAGCATGTCCTAATTTCAGATGTTAAAACACAAAAATGGTATCCTAGGGTCAATAAAACAGTATATAATTTAAGGACATGTTTAAGTTTTTTTTTAATTAGAAGAGTTCATTTAATAAACTTATGCTGCTGACATCAGTTCAAACCAACAGAACGTTGGAGCAGCACAACTTTTAATATGGAACAACCCCCTAAATTTGCATACATTTTGATCCAACAACTGGATCCTAAGATGTGCCTCAAGACAATGACTAGACCCATGTGGAAAGGTGGACAAGGAAAGCGTTCTGTGGCCCTGGGCTCTCCTGGGTGTCAGTCATGGCTGGTATGTGTCGGTTTGGCTGAGCCGTGATTTTCAGTGGTTTGCTTAGTTAAGTAGTGATGCAGTTTGGCTGTTATGTAATGAGGTAACTTGGAAGTTATAGATGATGTCATTATCCCCATGTTGTGATCGAATGCAATTATCCTCCACTTGCTGTGTGTTGTAAATTCTGACCTCTACGGGTTACTGTGGCAGGATGAGGTTATGCCGATGAGGCCTCTGTGTCACCTCTCATCTTATAAGATGGAAAAGGAAATGAAAAGAGAGGGAGGGGCCTGACTACCGTCAAGAAAGAAGAGCCAGAGTACAGCATTCTTTGGGACTTGGGGTCCCTTGCGCTGAGAACCTCCTAGACCTAGGGGAAAACTGAAGACAAGACACAGGAAGAGCTCCAGAGAAGGGGGGGCCCACAGATGCCGAAAGGAAGCAAAGGCCTTTCGATAGAGCTCCCAGAGAGAGAACGTCCCTAGCGCTGGCCCCCATGGAATCACCCCCTAGCTTCCTAAACGATGTGAGAATAAATCTCTATTAAAGCTTTCCACTTGGGGTACTAGATATCGCTAAGATCCTAGTGAAACCTGGAGATACGCGAGTCTTAAAATAGAAGACTGCAGAATTCAAGTGTGGTATTTCCTTATCACAGAAAACTCCAAAGAATGAAAGGCAGCTGACACCTTGACAGGCGTTCGTGACGTAGTAAGGAAAAGCAGGTTATGAGCCATAAGTAAAATCTTTTTTTTTTCTTTTTCACTTTCTAAAAGTTTGAAGAAAAAGAATTTCCAATGGAACATTCACTACCTAGTCCAGGAACAAATTCTCTATAGCCGTAGAATCAAGACAATTCCAAAGATGCACTGCTTGAATTTCTGAAAAAATGTTTAACACAGAACAGATTGAGCATGTACTTCCCGCCTGATCTAAACCCACCTGGGGTAGAAGCCCCTCCTCTGTCATGTTAGCTTTGGTTTGCTCCACAGGAGGCAGCGCAGTCTGCTAATCAAACGCCAGTCACACAGCAAGTACTTGTTGAGCTCCGGCGATTCCTTAAGGAATCATTGGAGGTGATTCCAGTGCCTTCAGCTGGAAGGCTGAAGTCTTTTGACCCCATTTCCTTTTAGTAAAGTCTTCAGTTAAGCCTGAGGGAACCAGCTGAGGCATTCGGCTAGAGATGGACTAAGCCAGTGTTTCTCAAACTTTCGGAGCACATAACCCACCCCACAGGGGAAGAGGGGGGCTGATTCCTTAGGTCTGGGGTGGGCTCTGAAACTCCAGAGAAGCGAGAAGCTACTCAGAGATGTACGTGGGTTTTGCTAAAGAATACTCAAGGGAACTGACCAACTTCTCAGTCCCGTCTGCATCCTGGCTCCCATTCTTTCACCCCAACAGAAGTTAGATTTCACAAATGTTTAAAAACTCCAGAAGCAGCAAGGTACTGGGCCGGCATTGGAAGGAATGACTTTTCACAATGTTCGAATCCCACCGTCGGCTGGGCTTCCTTTTATTCTCGTCAATAATCAGTGAAACCACGTTCAACAGGCTAGCATAACGGTGCGGATGGCACGGTGGGCAGGAGCATAAGGGGACGGCTTGGCAACCAGTGACCACCACCGGTTTATGAATGGGGCTTCAATCCTTCCCAGCAGCTTAGACGGGACAGACGCGCGGGACTTCTAAGGCAATCACTTGGGCTCTCCTGGCCTCCTGGCACTTGCCCGGCCTCCTCCCCAGGAAGGGCTGCGGCCTAAAGCAGAGTGTGCAAACCCCCCAGGCTAGAGAGCCTTCGATTCTCAGAGTGGCTGAAGCCCTCGGAGATTTCACTGTGAACTTTTCCTCCAAACTCAGTTCCATAGTACAGCTAGAGGGACGGTTGGAAACATTGTCTCCAAGCTGCCTGCGAGCCCCCAGACCGCGGGAACGCTTTGCTCTCAGGGAGGCGGCCAGCCACGTGGAGATCAGGTATTCATGTGACCAGCGTTAAGACAAACTCCGTGCCCCCATGGCACTCTGACCCGAGACAGGCGCCGCCACAGAAGTCCAGCAGGTTGGATTTCTCTCCCGAGAGGCACGCTAAGGGGTGCGGACACCCATCCCCACCCCAACCCTCCAGCCAGCCAGCCTGGGGGTGCCGGCTGGCCCTCACCCCGAGCGAGGGTCTTTTGGAAGACGGCAAGGCTGGGCTTGGAAGTTTCCTGCAGCCCCTCAAAGACGCGAACGCGCTCCATCAGAGGGGCAGGCGGGGGTACCCTCAGCGTCCCCCCCGTGTCCCCAGTCCCCGGGCACTCACGATCTCCGCCACGATGAGGAGCCCCGGCAGGGTGCGGAGGAACTCGCGGTCGTAGGCGAAGCTGCTGCTGCTGGTGGAGAAGTTCTCGGCGAAGGAGCTGGTGGTGGTGGTGACCGTGTG